CGCAAAAATGCTCGCGTAGTTTAAAATTGACGTCGGACAATTTAAAAAATTGCGACCCGATTTAATTTACGTTGCGACCGAATGTCGTCGCAAATTTAGGGCTTTAAATGCGCCCTTCTTCTTTTCTTTTCTTCTCTTTCTCTCTTCTCCTTCTCCTCTCCTCTCCTCCATCCGCAGCGCCGCTCCAGCCCCTCCTGAGAACGCTCCAGCCCTGTGACGCCGCCACCGACGCTCCGGTCAACTGCCTCTACGCTGTTTCGCCACCGTCTGGACACCATTTAGGTAAGCCGGTTGCATTTTATTTTTTTCGAAAATGTTTTTTTTTTTTTTTTTTGCGATTTGGTATTTTTCAATTATTATTATGTTATTATTTATAATATTGTTAATGTGTTGTTAGTGTTGTTGTTATATTATTATATTATTTAATATAGTTATACTAGGTTTAGGTTTTTTTGTTTTACTTGTAAACCAAATTGATAATGTGAGCTTTTTTTGGTTTCCTTGCTTTAATTTATGAATTATTAAGAGCTGATTATTTTTATGGAGTTTTGATTTTTCAAAAACTTGATAATACTCAATTAGTTAAATGAGTTCAATAGAATCAATATTAGGAAAGAAGAAACTTAAACTGATAAAAACTATTTTGAATGAATAAATAGCAAAAAATTCAGACTTTTAGCTATAGTAATTAGATTGCAAAATTCTTATGCCTCCATCTAAATTGAATTCTGCAAATTATCAGGTCAGTGCCAATTTTTCTGCTGCCAAAATATCTTTCTGATGGAATCTTCAGCCCACTATCTTAAAAATAGATAAATATATAGAACATGTAGAGGTTTCATCATGAAAACCAATATGATAATATTTACAGTTCCTCAATTAATCAGGTGGCACAGTTTTGGAAGCTGAAACCTAAACAATATGGAAATTGAGAAGAAGGAAAATTTAGGGGAAAGATTTGTTTGGGAAATCTGAATTTTCAAATTTTAGTGGAATTTAGACTTGACTTATTTGCTATTTTTGAAGGTCCTAAATTATAAGCAGGCAGCCAGATTAATCCAAAAATTCATCAACTTGTTTTCTGATTTTTCTTCCCTGATCAGTTCCGAATCAACCTCCATACAATAAATAAATAAGGGAAAAACGTGTTTACAAGTTTATAACTACCACCACCACCAATATTTTATTTAGTTTATTATCGCAAAGCCACCACATTTTCCTCTGCCCGTGGACGAGGAGGGTCGATCCCTCGTCCTTCGTCAGGTACGTCTGGGGCTTCGTCATCTGCTCAGCGACCAGTACTGCCACCATCACAAGCTAATAATTTTGATTGATAATATATATATATGCACACAAACATTCTCTTTATACCCAATGTGAATTAGAAATAAAAAAGGGGTGAAAAAAAATGCATCAGGATGCCTCAAACTTGAAACTAGTAAATTTTATTAACAAAAATATGCACATCTTCCAAAGTCTTTTTTATATTTTATATATATAGATATGGTTGGTCAACCAAACCATTTTCAGAGCTTCTTCACCCTTCTTTTATTATTATAAAAAAGGGATTCCAATATTTTTTAAAAGCCACTAACCAATGCACAAAGTGGATGAATTAAATTCTGCAACCCTTTTTAGAAATGGAAGCCCATTGCCGAAAATAACTATTTGTTTCCCAACAACTGGTACTTGGTTTCTTTGTCAACCCCACTTACTATGATTGGCTCTATGCCATTAATTCAGGTTTTCCATTGTAATTAACCAACTAAAAGTAGTATAATTAACCAACTAAAAGTAGTATAAACCAAACTAATAACAATTTGAATGTTTTCTCATGTAGTAAAAGATACCTTTATTTTAATAAAATTTTCTATTTTCAACCAAACTAATAACAATTTGAATTTTTTCTCATGTAGTAAAAGATACCTTTATTTTAATAAAATTTTCTATTTTCAACCAAACTAATAACAATTTGAATTTTTTCTCATGTAGTAAAAGATACCTTTATTTTAATAAAATTTTCTATTTTCACCATAATATTTTTCTTATTATTAATATTTATTGTCGTTATTATTTCTTAAATATGTTTTTATTAAATGAAATGTTGAATTTGATTGGAGGCCTAGTAGTGGCCATTTTGCCTTTGGAGTAATGTTGATATGTTATAGAAGTGTATGAAGTGTCTTTTGTATTTGAGATTTGATTGTGTTTTGGTGCCGGAAATGCTGCCCGAATTTTTTCAATTAAATTCAATATGTAGAATAGTTACCTTACCTTTATATATATATAGTAGGTATATAACCTTTGCTTATTGAATATTTGTATTGAATAAATGAACTTAGTGATTTTACATTTATATATAGTTACCCTTATTATAGAAATAACCTTAGTTAGTTATAAGTGTAAATTGAACATTAAATTAGTGGCATGTTTTAAGGATGGTTTAGACTAATGCAATTACATATAATTTACCCTTTATAAACACATTGTTAATTAGGTAAAAAAAAATGCGAAATAATCGAAATTGGATGTACTAGAGGTTCGAGGTCAATGGGATATTAAGACAAGAGTTCCTGCAAGGATTGGAGGCGTTTATACAGTTTGCAGTTGGTAATCCCACTTTTATGGATGGTAATAAGTTGAGGTGTCCATGTAATCACAAGAAGTGTCGAAATCGAGCCTTCTTAGACATCAATACAGTGAAACTGTGCAAAAATGGGTTCGTGTGGAAAATTATTACGAATGGATACATCATGGTGAAGGCGCGAGTTGCCGGCTCGGTTCAGGCCACTCCATCTGAAATTATTAACGAATATGAAGAAGAGCGAAGCTGATTGAAGATGAGGCAGGAAGCAGATGAAATTGAAGACACTTAAACTTAGAGCCCAATTTTACTGTTACAAATTGATAAATGTATATGTAATTAATATTATTAATTGAAGAATTTTAATGGTATTTTCACTTTGGTTTACTCGTATTTACCACATGTTCTACAATTCATTATAATTGTATAAAATTCATTTTAATCTAGGTTCGATATCTGCAGTACAGTATGGCTAGAAGCCAGAGCGTTTATTCTTGACGCATCTGGTAGTGGTTTCGCGACTGGGGTCGTGGCCCTGGACGCAGTGCCGTGAGACGAGGAGGGTCGACACAGATGGCTAGAGGCAGAGTGTTTGATTCTGACGCGTCCGGCAGTGGTTCGCGTGGAGGTCGTGGCCCTGGACGCAGTGCCCGTGGTCGAGGAGGGTCCATCCCTCATCCTTCTTCAGGTACGTCTGGGGTTTCGTAATCTGCTCAGCGACCAGTACTGCCGCCATCACATCCTTCTTCAGGTACGTCTGCGGCTTCATCCTCTGCTCAGCGTCCAGTAATGCTGCCATCACAACCTTCTGCTCCTTCCTCTTCTACCCCCGTTTCTGGACCAGTATAGACTCCACCAGCTGCACAGTCACCTACTGTGCAAGGTATGTCATAACTGTCATTTTAATTATATATAATTATCTTTAGAAATTTATAAATCCTTTGTATTTCTTTGCAGTTTCATCAAAGCTCCCACGTATCACCCTCAGTTTGGTAGCGGGACAGTAAGTACTTCTTTATTCAAATTTCTGCAGGCATATTTTGTATATATATTTTGCTACTTATTCATAACTGTTGATGCTTTCGTTGTAATTATATTTTACTTCTGTTTTTTTTTTAGGCATATATCCATCTTTCTCGCAAAGCAGCGAGGCAATTTTGAAAAGATAATCAAGCTAACAGCGCATAAAGAAGGATACACATGGGATGCCGTACCACAAGAGGCGAGAAGACTTTTATGGGAGGAGTTCCAGGTATCTTTGGTTTAAGTATATCATCATTTCAAATGTTACAATTCAAGATACAAAATCGACAATGTTTTAAAGCTATATTTCATTTTTTGCCAGAAACATTTCATATAGGACGAGGCCATTACGGCTATGCTTGAAAGTAGCCTGGAAGAAGATATGCGCCGATCGATACGGCTGGGGGAACTTCACCCTTATAGGATGAGAAGAAGCGGGTAAGAAGCAGCAGTGCGTGTCTCAAGAGATATGGGAGAGCTGAGCAAAAGGCTTGGGAGGATCCTGCATTCAAGAGAGAAAGCGGGAGATATTTGCACAAAACAGGCGCAGTGATTGCACAAAACAGGCATAGTGAGACTGGCGGTGATGGAGTAGGACCTTCTCGACACACAGGCGGATCAATATCTGCTATAGAGACAACTCGATTATTAGTAAGTAAACTAGTCACAGTATATGAAACTGATGTTTAATGAAAGGACACTATCTATATTAATATATCATGCATAAAAATTCATTATAGGCTAAAGAATTTGGTCGTGAGCCAACACCGATTGAGGTGTTTACATATACTCACACGAAGGACCACGATCTTAATACGTTTGTCGACAGACGTGCGCTGAGCGTCAATGTAAGTAACAATGAATATTTACATTTACCCTCTATATCATTGCGAAGATGCTAACAAAGTTCAATATAAACAAAGCTCGCAATTGCATTAGATTTAATTAATTTTTTTTTGTTTTCAGGAGACACATTATTCACTACAGCTCGGGAGCGTATTGTTACTCTCTAGGACGATGAAATCGAAGCTGAGTCAAGAATTGACGAGGTAGCACTTTATCTCCGGTGTAGGGGCGAGAAGAAGTAGCGCTTTATCTCGAGGCTGTAGGCGGGTCTCAGGCATCACAGTTTTACTGCGGCTCAGCAGCTCACGCTTCTACAGCCAGCGCAGCACCACAGCCGGAGCACACTGACGGGCACTATACTGATGATATACGGGCTCAGCTTGCTGATTAGCAGAGACAGATTGCAGAGCTTAGAGCGCATGTGATGCGGCTGTCCGTTGAGCCCGGTACTGGTACTTCTTCCTCTGATCCTGCGCCTGCTACAGACTGATATGTTTTGACGTCTCAGCAGCAGCCAATACCGGCTCCTCATCCCAATGCTGCAGACGATACCTTGGTCACCCCTCCTGGCGCTACATCACCTCCAGCAGGTACTCCTCCCGGCGATCTGACATCGGGAGATCCGACATCTGCAGATGAGCAGCAGCATATATAGATTTGATTTTGGACCTTTTAGTTTTCATTTGTATTTTCATATTTTAAATTTGTTCAGAACAATAAAAATTACATTTTAATTACTGTTTCTTGAACTGCGTGTGTGATATATTATGCATTTTATGTCAAATTTTCACAGGGTGCCAGAAAAATTTTGGTTTCAAAACAATATTTTAATTTTTTTTATTTTTTTTCATTTAGCGACCGATTTGGCCAACCGATTGCCTACCAGAAAAAGTTAAACATTTTGAATTTACAATTTGCACCAATTTGCCAACCGATTTCAAACATTGCGACCGACTTTTCTGCGACCAAATTTTGGGACTGATTTTCCAATTAAACCGCGGACCACAAATTGCACCGCTTATTCACATTGCCGACGATTTTATCGCGTCTCTAATTTGCGACCGACGTGCGACCGACGACACAATCGGTCGCAAACTTGGTTTGCGACCAGTGATTTTGCGACCGACACTTATCGGTCGCAAATCGGTCGCTACAGTAAATTAGCGACCTATTTTTGCCATTTTGCGACCGATTTGTCGGTCGCAAAATGGCATTTTTTTTGTAGTGTTAATTGAAAAAAATTAATGTGATTAACACTTAACTATAATAAAAAATTCTCCATCTACACCAAAATAGAAAATTTCAAACATGGAAAACACTAAAATCAAATATTTTTGTTTTCAAAATTAATGGATTGAGTACTCCAATTTATAAATTGTATAATTTGAAATCTTATAAAAAAATTATTGAATAATAAAGTGTGTTAAAATGCACGCATAAATCGGATTCATTAAATATTTTTACTGAATAGTTAAAAAATTTAATACAATTTACTTGTTAAATTAAGCATTTAATATATAAAATATTATATCTATTAAAAAAATATAAAAAATGATAAACCTTTAAATTCCTGAATAATGAAAGCTAAAAAAGCTAAAAAATAATGCGAATGTCATCAAATTGTCATCGAGACAGGGGAAAAATAAAATAAATAAAAAAATGTTTTCACGTATCCCCATTATTTTCCCATTTCTAATAACCAAATACATATCTTATAAAGTTTATAATAATTACAGTTGCTGGCTTTGGTCAAAATAGATGACGCAATCCTTTATTGTCATTTCGACCAAAAAACACCCAACAGAAATTATCCAACTATTGACCTCGGGTTAATAAATTGTATTCAAAAGGTAAGTCTTATCCAACTAATGACTCGGGTAATAATTTATCAAAAGTAAGTCTAACTTATTATTAATCTAACATATTAAATGAATTATTAATGGTAGAACACATAATTTCCTTCTTGAATTTTTTTCAAATTATTATTTATGTTCCTATATTTTGTGAGAGACCGCTTATGTACCTTAATTTATTTTTTTATAGCTTTTTTACCTTTAGTTAAATTGAAACTTGTGAGTGAATTACACTTGCGTTGACGTGTCGTAAGCACTCAAAATGTCATCATTTGAAACGCCATGTTGATTTCCACATGTTGAAGAACTAACGAAAAAGAGAAAAACGAAAATTTAATTGAATAAGCAGTAAGATTTTAACGCCTCTTGCAATAAAACCTCTTGAACTGAGAGAAAAATAAAAAAAGAGAGAGATATAACTCGCAACACAGTAATGATCATCGCTGATATTATAGCCACCAGAATATCGCTTAAGGTTGTCCAAAGGGTTTCTCCTTCGTATTCTCTTTGCTGCCAATGTCAAATCTGAGTTGAGTTTGAGGTCTCTTCATCAAAATGTCTTCCCGTGACGCTACTGTTTTATTCTCGCTTTCACGAACCTATGCAATCACAACAACTGAGATATAAAAGATTCGATTTTTGCAATCACAACAACTCAGATGAAAGATCAGTTTTTTTTTTCTTTTTTGAAAAATAGAATTAAAAGAAAGAAAAATCTAATATCGTCTCTTGCTTCTAAAGAGCTATTTGATGGGAAAGATTTGGCTTTTTTTTTTTTTTTTTTTTTGTTTATTCAACGCTAATGGCTACTGGTTCAGCTTTTGTTTAAGAAGAGAAGAAGACAATAAGCAGATGGAGAAGTGACTTACACGCATTGATATTAAGCAAAATGGAGTTCAATATGACACCGTCTTCTTTACACGTAGGATAAAAAACATTACTGTTACGCTCTGTTTTAAAGTTAAATTCATCACGTTCCACTGATTCTAGCGTGTTTAAGGGGTAAAAAAAATTAAAAAAAAATTTTGAGTTAAGGCTTAAAAATCGATTCCCTGCAAAAGTTATATAAGAAATATAAGGAGCATAAATAGCAATTAAAAAAAATTCAAAGGGGAAATTATGCATTTCGCCAATTATTTATTGAATTTGACTAATAATTCTTATAACCTACATTCTTAACAAAAATAATTAAAATATTTATGACTGATATCATGCATTATAAGCATTACCATCATCATATTAATTTTTCCTTTCATAATATGTGCACTTGGTTAATTGAAAGTTTTCACAAATAAGTTTAGATGATAATTAGTAATTGCTAATGCAATAGAATTAACAGGTTTTGACCTTTTCAAGCTGATTATAGATGTATTGGAAAACCTATTTACTTGGTAGATTCCTGAAAGTGCTAAATTTTTTCTAATATTTTTAATTTTTCTAATATTTTTAATTTTTTTTTTGCTGATAAAAAAAAATAGGTTTAGGTTTTTTTATCTCCTATAAGAGTTACATGAACTTAATTCTCTTTGTTAACTTAATACTTTTGCAGAATTTGCAGCGGACAGTTAAAGAATAGCGCAAAGCAATAAAAAAACTATTAAATTAAATTAAAAAAGTCACGATTTCGTAATCAAATTTTAAAACGAAAACAGACTATCTTAGTTAATCAGCACGTAAATATTAAGACAAAAAAAGGAAGACCAAAGAAAGCGTACGAACTACGAAACCCTCTGGAAAGTTGACAATAATTACGTGTCAAAATAATGTAGCCAGGAATGAGAAATTCAAACAATATACCGCTCTTATACCGCTTCCATTTTATATTCTAGTAAGGAAAGTTTCTGCGCCATCCTTGAAATTCAACGAACAAAATCGATTTGGATGGAAAACGTTCTTTCATTATCCACCTGTAATAACTAAAATGTCAAATCCTCCTTGTCTATAAATAGCCATGCACTCCATGCAAGATTTTATCATCTCTTACGAAGCAAATACTACTAAGTTGTATACACAAGACTTCTCATTATCACTTTTTTTTTTTAAAAGCTTCTCATTATCACTTTTAAGCACAATGAAAATGGCTAATTTGCTTATAGCTCTTGCTGTTTTGGCTATGGCTATTTCCATTTTGCTTACGATTTGCTCAGTCCTCCCAAGGGACTTCTGTGTCGCAACTGATGGTTCCGATTTCGGTGGTATGTATTTTGTTTATGCATTTTCTTTTATTTAATTTCTTTTTTTCTAGGGTTTCATTTTCAGAATTTTAGAATTGTCTCTCAACAGTCAAACAGGTCATTATTGGGTATATGTTATAGATAAGTTTACATGATAATAGTTAATTTTTTAATTTAATAAACAAGTACATTATTCTTTTATGCAGCAGTATTCGGTCAATGGGAAAATTCTGCCAAGGATCCAGAAACACGTAACAGCCAGATTGACTTTTCCTATTCTGGATTAAACATTGCTAGAGGGAAACCTCACAACAGCTCGGAGTCCGCACGAATCTCTTAACTGTTTAGAACCAGATCCTCTGGGCCTTAACACCAATGCTCTATCCATTGTTTCGGGGATTGACTTTTCTCACCTCGCGGTCTGTTAAACCCTCCTCACCACCATCCTCGAGCTGCCAGAGATCATCACCGTCATAGAAGGAACTCTATATGCAGGTTTTATCACTTCGAATCCCGATCACCGCCTTTTCGCCAAGGTTTGTTGAAAGCCAGGAGATGTTTTTGTATTCCCTTTGGGCTCAATTCAACTTCCAAATGAATATTGGAAAAACTCCTGCAGTTTGCTATAAGCCAGCCGTGATAGTCAGAATCCAGAGTGGTGGCACCTCAGCAAATACAATATTTTGGTGCCAGTTCCATCAGTTAATTCTTGATCTTCTGGCAAGGAGCATTCCATTTTGGACAAGAACACAGTGGGTAATCTTTACAAAAGCAGGAATGGTGTTAATCCATCTGACCTCAATGCCTTATTATTGATATTGATATTGATATTGTGTAAGGAAATATAGTATATTTATATTTTCATTTAGATTGTTTGATTTCTATAAGATGTAAATAAGAAGAGGATGTAAATTTATACATTTACATATCATTCTTAATGTTATTGTATTCATTCATTCAATAAGGGTGAGGATGCTTAATTAAATGCCTCCTTCACTTAAAGTTTTTTATAATTACTAGTAATAATGTATTCTTGAAATTTGTTTCAATTATAGCATTTCTATATATCTCTTTCTTTAATACTCCATCTGTTTCAAAATAAATATTTTTTTATTCTAAAATAAATGCCGTTTTTATAATTTTAAGACTCCATTAATTTTTTTTCTAATGCATCCTTATTTATTTATTAGTATTCTACCATAATATAATTGTCTCTCCATTACTCCCTTAATTTAATTGGGGCAAAATAGATATTTTACAAATTAATTTTTGTAAAATTAGACTGTGAATTGCATTCCTTAATCAAATCCATATGCCGAATTAAAAACTGACATTAATCCATATGCCGAATTAAAAACTGACAT